ACTACATGAATCACTCGAACAAGCAAAGGATTAAAAAAAATTATAATTTAATTTGTATGTTGATCAAGAAGAATCTATTTTTTTTTTTGCGTTTGTAAGCGATGTGGTATCGGCAATTTAGACTTACAGGGGTTAACTGATTTTTGGACCACTCTGTGGAATTATGAAATATGAAAATTATGAAATATATGAATATTCATTTATATGATACAGTTTTTAAATGCATTAAACAACTGTCAAATTATATACAAGTAAATGCATTAAAAGATATATTAAAAGATGCATAAAAAGATATATTAAAAGATGCATTAAAGATATAAAAGAAAATGTTGGAAGAAAATATCTATATCTTTATAATTTGAGGCAGTTGTTTAATGCATTTACTTGTATATAATAAAAAGAATATCAAAATATAAAGAGGGAAACAATTTAAGCAAGAAAACAGGGCAGCAGTTTAAGCTTTGCAATGGTTAACTGACTTTTGGACCACCCTATATATGTTTATAATATTGTTCTCAGAGCTTTTTATATTTATAAATGATTTTAAATGTATAAAACTAATCTTGAATTNAAACAAAAAAATCCCTAAACGAGCTCTAAAAATGCAAAATTGATATTTTTCCTTGTAAAATGAGCATTAATTACAAGTAGTTTATATAAAACCATAAAATGTTTTTATAAAAATTGTATCGCGTCTAAAATATTAATTACCTAACGTTTCTTTTATTTCAAAGATTTTTTGGAATTTTTTTAGTTTTTTTGAAAGAATGCCCTTAGAGAAGCTTATCTAAATAAAAGTTTTTATAGCTGCCATTTTGAATTAATAACATCTGTTCAAGTTAGACGCTTTTTTTTTTCTTTTTCCTAATGCCTGTAAACTTGCATATTTTACTGTTTTTAGTGCGTAAAGTTGTATACTTTACAAAGTTCATATTTGCAGTTTAAGCCTGTTATAAATGCTGTATATTTTACAGTTTTAAACATGTATAAATTCTTTTAATATATTACTTTACGTACCAGTTTTTCGAGTAAACATTTTAAATTCCACTTCCTTTATCTTTAAGAAGATATTTTACTGTATTTATACAGAACAATTACATTTCACACTATTGCAATTCCTTACAAAAACAACGTGTGAATGTCATGTAAAGATATAATGTATTAAAAATATTAAATTATATGCGTATATTGAAGTTTATATAGGGTTTATATCTGTAAACTTTAATCTGTGTAAGCTGTGAATGAGCTTGTATTGACACTGCGCATAATATACAGCTATACAGTTCGTATTAATTCTGTAAATAAGATCTTTTACAGAATTGTGCAACTGTATAATAAGCGGTGCAACATAATTTACTGTTGTTAGTATAAGCTGTAATTTACGGATCTTATACTACTTATACAGAACTGTATACTTGTATAATCAATAAATATACGTAACTATATCCGTATAAACAGTTTAACATCTGTAAATTACAGCTTGTAATTCACAATAAGCTTTAATTTAGATGTATGGATGCTGTATAATACAGTTATATGTAAAATCCAACTTGGAATTGCTATGAGAAAATTAAAGTGATTTTACATACAACTTTAATTTAGATTTTATACTGCTTATACAGGTATACAGTTACGTGTAAGCTTATACAGCGTTATAAATATCGTATAATTTACAGATCATATACAAAGAACACAATGTATTCGCACATTAAAATTCTTTAAAAAGACACGTTAAAGAAACAATAAATATTTTTACACGGTTGCATAAGTTAACATCATTGTGTACGCTTCCCAGAACAAAAACAACACACCTCTTGACGTCACAATTTGAATATAATTACACGTCACACTTATTACAACACAACCGATTATTAATAGCATTTAATTAACACAAACTCGATACGGGGTGAAAAAGAAACACACACACAAACACAACGAAAAAAAATTAATTTAGGATATAAGGTAGTGTATATACATACATATTATATATATAAGGCAAATTACCACGTGTTAGCTTAGCCCCGGGGTCGAAGATTTTTCTCATTCAAGCAATGTCATTCACTCACTCTAAACAACCACCCCGCCAGCTGAATATTCGACTCTTCCACCCCATGTATGACTTAGCTTATTGGTCAGTAGACGAGTCGAGCATATGGGTGCTCGTAGTGTGCAGGTGCTCTTCTATATTAGTAGGTGTCCTCTGTAGTGTTGTAGAAGGGGGATCGAATTCCAAGTTCCGCTACCGCTAAAACAAGTAGGTGAAAATTTATTAATGTACTAATTATTTATCTGACCTTCGTGAAAACACTTGTGTGTATGTAGTGTGTCTGTATGTATGTTATTTTTTACAGCCTTTAATTTAATTAAGAGGGTAGATACCTACACGCCATAGTATCTAAAAAAAAAGAGCTGATTTTTTCGAAAGTATTTTATTGATAAATAAATTGGAGAAGGGTTTCGCTTCTAACAATGACTTCTGTGTTTTTTGGCAACGTGATATTTTGTCGTAACACAACGAAACGTATGTTTCGAGTTAGGATCAACCCAGCGTGTGAACGGATCTGGATTGTGTAACCTCGTCTTTAGGAATTTTTAATACGAAATTTTTCATCAAAATACATTCTTGTTTTATTTGTAACAACGTGAAGTAACTTTATCCCCTTCGTTCCTCTTCTCTATAATTTGTTTATTGTTAATTCGAGAATTTATGTATAGAAATTGTGACATTTTCTTGAGGTTAAAAACTAGGATTTTTGTGAGTAAATAACTTAATAATCATGAAATTATACCATTAATTAGTGGCATAAACCTTATAAATCATTAAATTATGATTATTTCCTTACCATTTTGATAAATTACGTTTAATTTCTTTGTTAATTAATTGCTAATTAAATTAAGAGTTATCTTGCTTATGTGATAAAATCTATGTCATTGCGTATAAAAATAGAGTTATAAATTATAATTTTATGATATTTTTATAGTAATTTTATAAAATGTTATAACCTTAAATATGTAATTCTTTATGAGTGGTTACAGTACTTATTTATAGTTATTTATACAATTTTTTTTATAGCTTTCCATAATGTTTCATATGAAATTTTACAACTTTTGTAATATAATTTTAAGATTTTTATAGTTTTTATTATTAAAATAACATTTTATGTGTAAAACATATAGCCTATATAATACACGTCCTCCCATGTTAAGTACACATTCCTAAGCACGTACTCAAAAACATAAATATACACAGCATACATAATTTTCTGCTTAGGAAAAACGTTTAGAGGTCGATAATACATAAATATTTCTTATTTTTCATTAACAAGAACATCTTAAACATTAATTATAAACTTAGAAGTGCTAAATATAAATTTTACAACTAATAATTTTGAGGTCAACTGTTATAGCAGCGCAATAAAAGGAACGATGTGAAAGGGTTAAAAAAACAAACTCGGCTGTTTTGATCTCTCTTCTTCTTCTCCTCCTCCTCCTCTTTTTAAAAATGGGTCTGTATTAATGTATCGTGTATATTGTTTGTTAAAGACGGTGTTAAGAGTATCACGAGGAAGAAAAAACGTCCCGGATATTGTTTTTAGGGGGCGTTCTTAACCGGTTATATTACAGTCAAAGGGGCGTTACATAACACTCGTTACAAATCACGTGTTTAATAGTTCTCGATCTCTTTATTTTGACAGTTTTAGTCAACCGTTTTCCATAGAAAACGTTAGGTGTAACGCCAACATTTTTGGAAGGTTTTCACGTGTTTTTTGGCTCCCAAATTTTCGTTACGCGTGCCCAAACTTCTGTAGACGATACCCCAAGTTATAAATTGCATTTTCGAATATAAAACACGGTAAAAACGTGTTGAAAGCATTATCAAATTAAACTAGTGTGTTCGCCTCTCGACAAAGGTTCGGTATCGTTTTTGTATGTTCATCAAGGAACGGAAAAACCGCCCCCTGATTTAATTTACGATTATATTTTACTACAGGCTACAATCATAAACCATTATCTGAAGGAAAAAATGATGAAAGGAAAAAAGTTTATTGAAAAATTTATATCGTTACGTAACCATCAAAGATTTTTATCGGATGATAATAACTATGATCACTCCTTTTCGTAAAGGTGGACCCTATAGCGTTACATACAGACGTCTCATATGAATTGCAAATGTAAATACACATCCAGAGCAATGCGTTGTTAAAGTATTTTTTCGCCTCATTATAACAGGAACAATACTCATAAAGAGTAATTTACAGATAGGCTGGGTGTTGCCGATTTTAAAAATGCCCTTTGCAACACTCGAAAAATATTTTTATGACGGATAATTCTGAACTTAACACATCCTTCAACGTCCAACTAAATCAAGTTGTCAAGCAAAACTTAAATGCCAGAAGCCTTAGAGTAGCGGAAGTCTTGAACAGAACAGAAGAGGCCTACACCATGCCACACCTCTATACAACCGATACACGTGTTCCTCTTAACTTTTGTTATTCCAATCACGTGTCGCTAATCGTCACGTTCGAAAACACGATGATGGACTGCGCGTGCATATCGAGGATCCTTCATTGTTCAATTGTTGGCATCATCGACATTTCCTCATCTACTTAAAGTCAGTGCTCTCGTGTATCAGTTCATCAACCTCATCTCGATCGCTTCTATCTCGATCAGAAATACAAAACATTTAATTATTTAAATACAGGGATGGAAATTAATTAGTTTCCAGTGTTTTTAGAAAGTTTAGATTAAAAAATTTCCAGCTGTGAGGAGTATAAACGGAAGAAAGGAGCTAATTTAGTGTTGCCAATTTGTCTTTTCTCTCCTGCAGTTCGGTGGGCGTCGAATGTGTCGTTTGTTTGAATAGATAACCAAATAATGGAATTGCACATGATTTTCCTTCAAAAATATTCACTGGATATCCTTAAAAACTCAATGAATATTCCTCAAATTCTTAAGTTAATCTTAAAAAATTGTCAAACGAATTTTCAAACTTATACCGACACAAATTGTGTATTTTTATTAAATTTTAAAATTCTGTATCAATAAAATTGTATTGTATTGTTAGATTGAGGTGTTGTACAGATAAAATTTCTGCATTTTTATAGCAATCTAGAAAATTTGCTGAGTTGTACACAAAAATTCTGCTGTTGAGTCAGTGGAGAGCATGCATACAGAACAATGTTGTATTGTTGAATCAGTTTATACAATTCTACATAGATAAGTATGTTTATGATTAGTCTACGAAATTCTGTACGGATAGACACACCATTGTTTAAACTAAATTTAAGAAATTCTGCAGGAAATATGGTATTTTGCATCGTTTGCATACGGTTTTCAATATGATGTTACTTCAGAGGAACAATACCATTGCTAAATTAAGACAATAAAATTCTATGTACGAGTGAAAATCCCATTGTGCAGACTTGTAGATAAGATTTTATTGCTTTTAACAATATATAATTTTATATTTAACAATATAAAACTTGGCTTATTGTTAAGTTACAATTTGGCACTCCTTACAGATTTTTTAATGGTTGCATTAGCTTAAATTATGCATAAAAACAATGATATATTGTTAAATTATCGTAAACAATATTTACAATTGAAATTTCTAATCTACTGTTAATCTTCAAACAAACGAGTAAAGGCGGCTTTTATATTAGTAACACTGACTGCTGAAGGCCTTGTTGAAGCACATCTTGGCATTCAAAGGATTAAGCGTGTAAGCAATAAAATAGCTACAATGAACAATTGTTAAGCAATTTACCACAATTTTTATGTTCTGCAGATTAAATATCATTGTTTTTTAGCTTATAAAGTGTTGCCATATTCAAATTTTCAGTTATTAATGCCAAGTTTATGGACTTAAAAGATAAAGACACGCAGTACTGTACGTTGCTTGAAGTTAAATAACTTGCAGATTTGAATTGACTTACCAGACGCATTTTTTTGGTGCGTCAACCACTTCAAAACCCTCCTCTTAAACTCAAATTAAATTAAACTAATCTTAAGACAATTAAGGAATTAAAATAGTTGCAAATTGACTGAATTACATATTTTTTGACTTATTCATTCTCTACTTTTGCATATTCTATTCTTATTTTTTTGATACGCGGGAGGAATTTAACTATTATAATTGAAGCGGACATAATATAGGGCTAATGCCCCCTCCTACGTCACGATTACGTCCCGGTCAATTAGCGTTTTAGCCCGGTATTGATCACAGATGTTCCCTGTTGAGTGGGAGTAGAGAGACTGTAGGAAGAGTTCATTTTTTCGGATGGGGGATTGATACACCGTCTTTTAAATGCTGAAAAATAGTCAAAAAAATACCCATTTTTTTCCTCTCCCCCCTAAATGGCATTCTACATATTTATGATCCCCCCGGTACATAAATATATCCAGTTAAGATCCCCCCTCTATCCATATCCATTTGGTAGATTATATAACGTCCTTAATTTAAGTGGACCACTTTATAAATTAAGATCCTTAAATTGATAAAAATCTAAAGAAACAAAGACAGATTAAGGAAAAGTCATAATTTAGTTGAGGTCCACAACGGGGATAAATTCTCCAACCCTGTAACTAAAGTTCAGGGGTATGAGGTTGTTTAGAACACATTGCAGGAGTGATTCTTCAAACCAAGATAATTCGTGACAGCTTACGCAATCTCTCCCAAACAAAATGAAAAACCTGGAGTTATAAATGCCTTATTTTCTTCATCCCCCCTTCATCATCATCATCTTCTTCTTCTTCGAGCGTAACTCGTGTTAAGTATCCAACGGGGGGTTCAACGATCGTTGGATGAAGTTAAAACTTCTTCACGCTTCGAACGGAAAATTAAACGAATTCTCTCTTTGAATGGTGTGGTGTGGAAAATCCTTACGTCACTCCGATAGGATGATATCATTTCCGGATGACGTCAACCCGCTAAATCGTTTCGAGAACGAAACCTTAACAGTGTGTGTGTCGGAAACGTGATTGATGATTACTCAGTTGTATGTCGATTAGTGAGGTGTATTTTTTTGAATAAGTTATTATTGTTGGAGATTTGGAACGTCCATTTTTCCATTTAGAGTGGCACCAGTAGGAAGAGGATTGTTTATTATTGGATAAGTTGTGTGGTTTCTCCTAATACCGTCTCTCGGAAGTGTTTCGTGCTTTTTTAGAACGTTTTATTTTGTTATGTGAATGATCGTTACGTCATAATGGAAGACCCTTTTCTAAACGGTCCTGTTCCGGTGTTCATTAATTTTTACATTATTACATCATATTAGAAGCGTAGACATTGATCATGACAATATAATGGAAGAATAGACATTGATTGTCGCATCATTTTGAAAGATTAGACGTCTATTATTGCGTCATACTCCACAAGTGAACGCTTTGTGTCATATTGGAAGAATGGACGTTGTTACGTCACTTAAAACAGGAGCATTGTTACGTCATATTTTTACCATCGTTTCTTCGCACTGGAAAACTGACATTATTACGTCATATTGGAAGATTCGGCATTGTTGCGTCATAGTGGAAGGCTGGATATCGATTATTACGTCACATTGGAAGGCTGGATATTGATTGTTACGTAATATTAAGAGACTAGACATAGCTCGTTACGCCAAATTGGAAGATTTAGCATTATTTCGTCATATAAGAAAGTAATAGGCAGGGGAGCCTCTAGGATTTTTTCCCAAAGGCAGAAAACATTTTTGTATCGTGTCATTATTTGCTTCTGGGGAGATAACCTCTTGTCCAAGTATTTACAATCGAATGCAGGGGACAGTCGCCTGACTCGCCCTCTCCTGCCGGCGCCTTACTTATGAGACATTCATTACGTCACGTATCCAAAGTGATCATTGTAAAATCATTTAAGAATGTTCCTCAGCGCATAGGAATATTGTGTGATGAGACTCCATTAACGATACAAGAACAATCCCCGCACCGTCGTCATCACAGCTCCATCTGTTTATCAAAAACTATAGATTCAGGTGCAAGTAATCATCCTGTTCAGTTTCAAAGTAGTGACATTTATACCCGAAATTCGTTTGCTATAAAAACAATCTCCATGCCCATCTGGGAGGAAATCAATTGGTCGAGAGATTGTAGAATATGTTTACACAGATGGTGACACAAAGATCCCATTACAGTAGGATTATCCGAGTGAGAATCCATGTGAGCAGCTTTGACCTCGGTTAAGACAAGTATGTTGTGGTATATAACGACCCCAAAGGGTCAAATACGTGTCCTGACATCCTTCGTCAGTATTATACTTGTTAATTCTACACTACTTCATCACTTAAAGGGATATCACGTACTTGTTTCTAGTTTGTGCTTGTCTGCGTGTTTTCGTAGACCCGACTTTAACAAAAAACACAACAACCGGAGGAGAAAACAATGTTGCTATGTTACTTTTACTCCATTTAAAAGTCAATAATGGAGTTTGTCTGTCATTTTTTCCTCCTTACGTCTAGACATTCAATGGGTTCCTTTCCATTGTCTATACCAAAAAAACTATGCTAAGCGCGAGCTATAGCCCTGTCTCAGCGACCGGTATGACGAAAAATAACCATTGCGCTAATGTAACGTAATCAAAATTTGTCTCACACTAGATGCTAACAGAGTTTCGGCTCGCGCTAACGACTATTTTACGTCACACTAGTCACTATTTTCGTCTCGATATATCAAATCTGATCAGATATACACATTCTTTACACTATTTTACACAGAAGCGTTATTGTACAAGAGCCAACGAGGACGTGCTTCGCTGCACGTACACACCCCTCACGTCAGGTCAACGTCACACAAACTTAAAATCGAAGCCGTGACGTCACCTGGGCCATCGGTGACCTTGTCTTCGTCTTTTATACATTTTTTTTTAAAAAAATGTATAAAAGACGAAGAAATGTATAAATTTTCTTTTATACTTAAGAGGGAACGTTTCGGTTTCGCTATCGATGCGACGGACGCGTCCGATCGCGTCGCTTCAATATGTAAATTACTCTCTTCCTTATAATGACACGCGACGCGATATCGTGAGACAATATTTCTTCGATCGCGTCGCGTGGGTAACAATGCATAACGCAATTTATACACGTTATAAATTAAACACGAAATTAAGACATAATCCGCTAACAAATATTGAATTTTTTTTAGTCTTTCGTTATCGATGTCAAGGCCATTTTTGTAGAAACGGCATTGTTTTCGTTCAAAGATAGGCACGCGACGCGACAGTTCGCGTTTAATCGCGTCGTGAGTGTGGTAAAGAATATTCCGAATCATTTTACAAAATCACAACTTGAGATGAAATCCTCTATAAAATATTGAAGAGAAAGCTCTAAAAATTCAAGAAACCAAGGTCATTATTCTAAAAATAACTTTGAATTTCTGCAAAAACAAAAAAAAAATGTACATATATCAGAGACGCGACAGTTTGTGGTTTCGCGCGTCGATCGCGGGGTATATTTCTAATAACATAAACACAACTTAAATTAAGGCCAGTCTATCATAAAATATTATATTTTCAGAACACTCTACAATAAGCCAAAGCCATTTTTCTAAAAGTAACGTTGATTTTGTATAGAAGACAGCGCGACACGCTTCGAATACTTTCGCATGCGACGCGATCAACGCGACACTTGTATCGCACACAAAGTAGTAAGTAACATTCCGAATAATTCTACACAAAAATACAATTTTAAATTACAGCTACGAAGAACTGTTTAGTCGAATCAAAAGACGCAATTTTTTAAAAATTTAGCGTTTAGGATTGTTGCAGCAAACACAATTAGCGACGCGACACAGACGCGCGTCGTCGCGCCGCGACAAACATGCCGAAAGGTACACGATTAGGATTAAAAAAAACTGCCATAAATTATTGTATTTTTAGAGCTTTCTCGTGTTATTTTCAAGGTAACTTCCCTAATTCAAGGTAAAACTCAAGATAATTTCCCTAAAATTCAGTAGAATTACTCTAAACCGAACCTGGAATGAATATTTATACAAGTCGGCAATTGAAATTCGCAACGAATTAAAAGTGAAATTTATCATGAAATTTAATTTATGACGTAGAAAAAATAAGAAGAAGAAATTTAAATTTCATTTCGAACTTTTTCCGCGTTATTTAATAACTTGAGGCAATATTGTAATTGCTAAACTGGCGACTTCCAAGAAAAAAAAAATGCAGTTTGTTAATTGAACGTCTGTCTGTAGCAGCACGACATATAACATCATTTATCTTATTTAAAATAATCATTTTGACCCTCCACATACACCAAAAATGCTAAACTTATCAGAGAAAAATTTATAAATATTTTTTTAACTACTAGAAATTCTAATTTAACTCGTTTGGTGAAGGGTGCGCTTCGCTTCGAGTTGCGCGCCGCGTAAGGGGTGTTTTCTCACGTCGCGTAGTTATTACACAAGGTACTAACAAAAAAGAGTAATATTTGAATAGATCAGAAAATAAAAAGTGTGCGGGTAAGTTAAAAATGTTATAAATTTTAATCAGGCTTACATTTAAAGAACGATTCGATGCGTCGCGAACGTCGCCATCATGGCGGATAACATGTACGATGTGTAAGTAATATCGATGATAAAAGACAGAATTTAGTTTTAAAAAAGGAAAATAGTTGAAACGAAAATAAATTAATTTAATTAAACGAAAATAAAGAAATTAAACGAAAATAAATTAATTTAATTAAACGAAAATAAATAAATTTATTAGGACGCGACGCGTATATCGCGCGTCGCGTCCTAATAAACAAGATATACAGGAGCGGATCCAGGGGTGTGCGATTTTAGGGATGTGAAAATCCCAAAATTCTAATTAGTAAAGAGTTTTCCATCGCAGAACTACAGTACAAAGGATATCGACATTGACATGAAGCGCACTCCCTAAACGAAATTCCCGGATCCACCCCTGACACATAAAGGATAAAGACAGAAAATATTACAATTGAAACTACAACTGAGAAGTATGGATTAGTCAAAGCGAAACGACGCGATTATTTATAAAATTAATGCTAAGAGTTGCCGCGGAAGGTGTAATTAGCGACGTCGCATCGCGACAAGCATGCCGCAAACTACACGATTCAACGCATTTAATGCATAAATTCAGTCTTATAATTCCTGATATATAGCTTCTAATTTCGAGTGTTTTAATGGGTTGGAGGCACGAAAACGAAACGAAAATGTTTCTTTCCTCAAAAAAAAGTAAAAAAAAAACAAACACCTGATATAAACAAACCGGTCTCGAGTCTTTTATTATAAACTACTATAGAGTCAAGTGTAAACAACTTATGACCGTTTTCGGCATCGTAAATCATTAAAAAAGACGTGTGGGTCGCTATCACTTTTAACCTTGGAGCCATAATAGATACTCTCCTTTATTCTTCATCCAAAACCTAAAGATATATAACATTAAACATTAATTAAATATGCTCGATCCTATTTTATAAAGGTTAAGTAGAGCCTGAAGCCTTCAAATTTAAAAAAAGGGGGTATCGAATTTTTGCTGCCATGGTTTCATAGAACCTTACATGTAAATAAACTTTTAGCCAAAGGGTCACTTGACCTTGTGTCTTTCTTCATTAATACTTGTGACTGTTCGCTCTGATATATAAACTTGTTTCGTTTTTAGATACGAAAGAACAATGATACCTCCTTATTCTGTCCACGTATAATGGAGTACGGGTGACATTTTTGTAACCATGTTGACAAGTCGCCATTGTCAAGATCCGTATCGAGAATTGGAGCTGTATTTAGAACAAGCGCAGGTAAGATACGTAGCGTGACGTATTAAATTGCCTCCCTCTTCTCTGTTTACCGTTAAGTCACAAACGTATACAATGAAACGAAATTAACTTTCTACACTTACAACTGCTCTAAAATTGCTTAATTTGTGAAATAAATGTTTTAAATATTAAAAATTTGTTTATACTTTATAATAAAAGATGAACTTTGATCTTATTAATGAATCTAATAACTTTAATTTGCCTCCATCCTTATGCATTAAGGCGGTCCCGCGCAAGATATCGAAGATATACGGTATAAATGTTACCGATTGTTTTTTATTAACAATGATTGGTTATAGAAATTTAAATTCATCCAGTCAGAGTTTGTTAAATTCTCTTACGGGTTATCTTCCATATTTGGCAAAGAACTGCTTATGTTTATAAGGAATTTACTTAATCTTATCTTTTCTACAGGCTACCAAGGTTGCTGTATTTGTTAACGATTCAGCCTGTATACATAAACAATATGTATACAGTTTATATGTGAAAAGAAGTGGAGATACTCATACAAACACAATGCACGAGTTTATTGCTATAGTCATATGAAATCGTATGAAAACGATTTTAATTGTATATTCGTGTATTTGTACTTCATACCTTTGTCTGTAAGCGCCAATGAATACCTTTGTCTTTATGTATGCGTGCTTACTCATTTGTTGTTATATATAGTGTCAGGGTCGCGTAGAGAGGGCCTGCAGGGACATTTGACCTGGGCACAAGGCACGAAGAGGCTCTAAAATTTACTCTTTCGTGTAAAAACATTATAAAAAATTTTATTCGCATCTTTTTTTTAATTCCGTTCAAAAGTAAGGCCCTGCATTTGTGACTAAGCTCTGTCTAACTCTTTCAGGCCCCGCGCACAGTTCATAAACCTAACCTACGATAAAGACGTGCACTTATAATCTAATTAGCACACACAAAACAGAGAAACTCCTACACAAATATGCATGCAAACTTATTTACATTAATGTGTTTTTTAACACCGGAATGCCTTAAATGTATTTTTAAGTTGCGCTTAATTCTCTTTTTAACAGAGTTGCCATACGTCGAGGATCATTTTTCTTCAACGTAAAGTTGAAACAAACAATCCCATGCTTATTTTCTAACGTCACAATAGAAATATTTATCATATTTAATAAAATTTATTCATATAATAAACCACACAAACAAGAATAATCACATAATTATCCGGAAACAGATATGATAACTCATTTCCTCTCTGTCTTTCCCTTTCGACCTTTCGTCACTAGTTTCTGTGTACTGATAATATGACACCCCCAAAATACTACAGTAGTGTGAGGTCTGTGTGTTTACAACCATCAATTATTCCCATAACAAATGGTGGAAAGACAAAGACAAAGTTGTCACAACGAAAATAAATTCTGTCTCCGTTCTCTAAACAAATCGCAGCGGTTGGTTCTGAATCTTGTCACATCATCAGTCTTGTTTCTCATGGAAATGAGTTGTTTTCGGTAGTTTCGTTACGTGCCCTCTTACTGGTTAAAAAAAAAACAGAAAAAAAACACTTAAAGAAAGGATGATTAGTCTCTCGACACGGCTCCAATAAACGTTTATAATTTCCTCCCTTTGTTTGCTATTAAAATTACTCATAATTCTTAATTAAGTCGATAGAGATGGCCGTGCAACGTATAATGCGTACCCCCTGTATACAAAATAATACAAGGGATGTGGGAAGATACAGGAAATTCGCTTTTGTATGCGCTTTTCAAACAAGCGCAGCTTCAATTGCATTGATGCAGCTGCGAAAATACCTGTTGACCTTTGACATCTCATCATTTATCTTAGGTGACAGATTGCTGTCAACGTATGAAACGGATTTTTCCCCTTCTTCTTCTTATTTTTTAATTTTTTAACTCTGTCCACAAACTCCCGAAAACTAATTAGCGCCATGTTATAAGCGGTAATTAAGTTAAAGTCAAGAGATGTATTTCTTTCCCCCTCTTCTTGTGTTAAAGGTGAATGTCCTATACTTGTAATGATAGTGTGATTTATTGTTTGTAACGTAATACACTACTTTGGTTTTTGGGGGTTGGGCACATTGTAGTGTTATGGGTTGGTCCGTTACTTATTGCCTCAAAACTTTTTCTTTTTACGAACGCTGTGGGAGTTCGGCGATGTTTATGACCTTGCTACATTCTGAGAAAAGATTAGTTAAATCCTCCAATTTCGAAATGAAAAAATAAATATTTATTAAAAATATGAATTTTTAAAGATTTCAGAATTTTAAATCACTCCCAATTTATTTAAATTTATTAAATAATAATAAAACAAGTAAAGTATTGTTTTGTTTTAAAGAAATGCCGCTAGAGGGCGATCGTAATCAACAGAAAGGTTATTATCGTTTACTATTACTTTAGTGTTTCGCCATCTGTTGGTGTAATTTATAACTAATACGAAAACTTTTTGTTTTTTTAAATAAATGTTTATAAAATGGGATTTAAGTGAAAATTTAATGTAAAAATAAATGTTTATAAATATGTAATCATTTTATCAGAAAAGAATCTTCGTAAATAAATAGCAGGTTTATAAATATTCACAATAAGGACTTCACCTATTAAAATGAGTTAAACAAATAAAGAAAAATGTTTTTATAAACAAAATAANTCTGCGCATGGAAAATCACTCACGCGCTGAGATGCACGGTATCCCATCAAGCCAATTTATTTTTTCACTTTTATTTAAAAAAAATTTATTTAAAATAATAAACTTTTTTTTAATAGAGGGCATCTGAATTATTTGAAATTCAAATTCATAAACATTTTTAAGATTAAATTCTAACAATATTATACATTATACTTATAAAAATAAAAATAAAATACATATCTTAAATAAATAATAATAATAAAGATGAAACTAAATTAATTTTTTTATTATAAAACAGTTAAAGCTTTCATTTTAAATTAAAAAATAATAATAATTTGGCAGCAAATTTAATCAAATAAATAAATATATATACAGTATACTATTTTCTGTAAAAACCATGTTAACAATTTGTTTTCTGATGATAATTTTTCATTACTTGCAAGAAAAATAAATAAAAGAAAATACTGAATATTTCATCAGATGAGATGAGAATACATAAAAAATGAAAGGGGGGGAAAAAATGTAGAATTTACTATTTATTGATTGTATGCACTTTCAAGGATTGTTGTCAGCTTCTTTAGGCAATTCACATTACCAATTCAAGGTTGACCTATACAAATTTTGAATGGAGATCACATATAAATGGTTATAATCTATATACCTGATTGGAATCTGCACTGTAACCATGCATACTACTTGTTTTCTTACATATCTTTATTACGTTATGCAATATTTGTCCTCCACATTACTATTGATTATGAAAGCTTAATTTATTCTGCTCTTAATTATTCCATAAATAAACTAATAATTAAATTTGGAGCCTTGTCTATGATAAAATTATTATTATCCATACTTATTTATGTAATAAATGTTGCAATTTTGATATTTGGTTCACTTCTTTTGCCTAAAATTCTCATTAAAGTTATTGCTTATTTCTTATTGCGTTGAATATCTTTTTGCTGTAAAGAAAAGTATATTTGGAAATATCCTTTTGATAAATATTCTTTTATGGAAAAAAGGAAGCATTTCATAACTAAAAATATTTATTTATCTTTTTTAGTGAATGCAGCTTTAAAAATTGTTATATAACTTATTTATTCTTGTATATATTCAGTTGTATAAATAATAGAGAGCTCTGAATCTTGATACATAAAATACAGGGTGGCCCAAAAGTTAGCTTACTACATGAATCACTCGAGCAAGCAAAGGATTAAAAAAAATTATAATTTAATTTGTATGTTGATCAAGAAGAATCTATTTTTTTTTTTGCGTTTGTAAGCGATGTGGTATCGGCAATTTAGACTTACAGGGATTAACTGATTTTTGGACCACTCTGTGGAATTATGAAATATGAAAATTATGAAATATATGAATATTCATTTATATGATACAGTTTTTAAATGCATTAAACAACTGTCAAATTATATACAAGTAAATGCATTAAAAGATATATTAAAAGATGCATAAAAAGATATATTAAAAGATGCATTAAAGATATAAAAGAAAATGTTGGAAGAAAATATCTATATCTTTATAATTTGAGGCAGTTGTTTAATGCATTTACTTGTATATAATAAAAAGAATATCAAAATATAAAGAGGGAAACAATTTAAGCAAGAAAACAGGGCAGCAGTTTAAGCTTTGCAATGGTTAACTGACTTTTGGACCACCCTATATATGTTTATAATATTGTTCTCAGAGCTTTTTATATTTATAAATGATTTTAAATGTATAAAACTAATCTTGAATTTATAAGGAATTTAATGCAAAATTGGACTAATTAATTATAATTATCTTGTATAATATTTCAATTTAATATTAATTTATATACACTTTACTTTCAATACCCAAAACACAAATTATTTTAAATTTAAATAATAATTTTATATTATTTTATAAGTTAATCCTCCACATATTTACATTAAATGTGTATTATATTTTTAATTTATTTATAATTCTAAGCTTTTTGACCTTTTAAAAAATCATATAAATTTTCTCAGCAATTTAATTAATGAAAAAAACAAATTTTCTTAATGCTAAGTAAATTAAATGTTTGAAAGTAAAATTTTATCTGGATTATCTATTTAAATTGCATTGAAGAGGAAGTCAAAAGTTATGTAAAATATTCTTTCCATTTTATTATTATGGAATCATGTTGAGATAATTGAAGAATTAAGGAACTTATACTATAATTTAAGCAATTTAAAGCATGAATACTTTACTAAACTACTTAAAATACATTTTATTTTCACAAATTCTCTTTTATTTTTCAGGAAGAGATAGGGAAAGCTTTTGAAACTTTGACAAAGAATAATTTAGATGCGGAACCTCAGCTTTTAACGAGGAGGAGATCGTCGTCTCCCTTACCATTTTCCTGTAACTATTCAAAAAACATTCCCGTCTGTCGGAAACTTTCATCTCCGAATATATCTGTCGACTGTAACTGCGATAATAAAATCGTCAGATGGCACGTGAATGGCGAAAGAGAATCAAATTGTTCCTGTATATTGGGAAAATTGAGAGACGAGGCGGAAAAAAGTGAAAACGAGAAAGATAATTACCCACGTCCACCTAGCGGAAACATAGAACTTCTGACTGAATGGGTGGACAGTTTTGTAGAAGCTATAAACACTTCTCTAAGTGCTGATGATGTAGGAATCAATGAGAATGATTCTCAAGAAATTAACTTAAAGTCAAATGTAGATGAGTTTAGTAATTCTAAAGGAACTAGTAGTGTTTCTAGACCTTTATACATTCCAGTTGCTAAGAAAAATTCAGAATTAAATGTAAAAATAGATGTAAATAAGAAGAAAGTAACAAATGGTATAGATGAAACAGATTTTCAGCAGAAGGATAATAATTATTCTAAAGAGAATTATGATAAAATGGTAAGATTATTTTACTTACAGTGACAATTTAAACATTTTTTTTTTTCAAAATTAAACAAAAATTTCTTTTAATTTTTATTATAGAATAAAATTAAAAATCAACAACTTACCACTGTAATTAACTCAAAATATGTAAAAGAAGCAGATAAACAATCGGATGGACAAGATGCAATCACTCAAACTACTCCACAGTTGTCTCGCAGGTAACTATCAGTTTCAATTACTTGTCTGGAATAGAAATCTATGCTTCTAAGGATATTTAAAGATATTTTTGGATTTAGTTCTAGCATTACTGGTGTTACCGAATGCAGCGAAGAAATAGTTTCCATAAGTTCATCAGAAGATAGCATTCCAAGATTTTCATCTTCGTCTTCGTCGTCGGCAGAGTTTCAAACTGCAGAATCATCATCAAGCCTTAGTTCAGACGAAGAAATAAGAGTAGAAAACTTTCCCAAGAAAATATTTCAAAAGGATCACTCGAGGACAACTTCGGGGACGCCGCCACCTCTTTCTCAAAAGGAACAGCGTGCTATGAGAGAGGTTCATTCGGAGATTTGTCTGGCATTAGAAGAATGTCTGAAGAAAGGCAGCAAAAGTGGAAGGTTGTCCATCAAAGAACTGAACTTGAAATCTTCCTCCGCACCTTTACTAGAAGTGAAATTTTCGGCCAGCAGTCCAAATTCTCCGATAGGCAATTCCAATTTTTCTGCAGACTTATGCGATGCTTGCAAACAGATCGGGGAAGGAAAAGTAAGTATATTAAAATTAATATAGAGTTAATATGTTCCTACATCATTCTGTTAGCTCTTCTTTTTCATTTAAATAGAAACTTAATTAAATAAATTTAAATAGAAATCTATCCACTTTATCATCTCTCTTCTCCTCCCACTATGATAAATGTATAAATTTAAATAAGACGTAGCAAATTATAAAAGTTATGATCACGAAGAAGATACGTAAACTTACAACCCACAGTTTAAGGTATAAGCCATCAAACAAAAACAATTTTAGGGGTTATTCTACACAAATATAATTAACTTATTTGTGGAACAAGGGATAATCATAATTGTTACACCATTAAAAGCAGGAAAAAGAAAATATCATCATATCATATATAATGAATGACCTATAGATTTGACTTTAGATTTAACAATAGGAACTTAGTAGACGTAGGTAGTAGGACCCACCCAAAGAGAAATTATCCTTTTTTTTTCCCCATTGTACAACATAGGTACTAAACTAACATCACCCACCCTTTACTAGAGGTGGGTGAAACTAGTTTTGGGGGAGGTCAGGGTCACGATTTATCTATTAATTAATGTAATAGTTAGTATGTGTTTTGTCAGCAAAAAGGCAAGCCTATATAATGTTTAGATTTTTGTAAAATGGACCACCAACATAGCCTCATAATTGCTTACATACTGATGGAAATGCTTGAAAATGTGTCTAATTTGCATGTTTTTGTAAAAGAATATTGATAAAGGGGAGAGGAATGTTACTTTTCTTGATTATTTTTTCCTATATTTGCCTCCTACAAGGAAGTTGACACTAGTTAGGTGTTAGTAGCATGTTAATAACTGAATTAGTATTCATGAATTACTTCTATCAACAAGTTATTAAAATGTCATAAACTTGATTTTTTTCCGTAAATATTTTTAGTAAACCGGGTCAAAACATTTATATCGAGACTTTGGAACAAAATATTACGATTTTTTTTTATTTTTAAACGTCGGGCGCCCGTCGCATCGCCATTACTACGCCATGTTGCGTCGCATTGCTATTAACGCGTCGCTCGCAAGCTACACATAAATTTGCAGTTATTAAAGTGAATTGTTTTATTCTTTTGTTAAAATATATATAAAATATTGTGAAAATGTGCGTGTTTTGTTTTTAAATAGCCACAAAGTTGAATCGTTTGGACTCTATCCTAACTTGCCAGCATTAGGATAGAACGCGACGCGACCGGATGCGTCAAGGTTACGTCTGAAAATTTATTAACGTAAATATATGTTATATCTACTAGAAATATATTATATTTAGGAAAAACGAATAAATAAATATATCTATGCGACATAGCAGGTATTATAAATTCATTTTTTAAACAAATACGAAATATTCAACATTGCGCGTGCAATTGGACGCGACGCGAAGCGCACAGAAAAAAAACACCCGAAGCTAAACTTTGAGAACAATTAACCTAACCTTAATTATAACGGAAATTTAATTAATTATTAATTTAAATTAATAAATTTACTAAATAATTATAATTAAGGCTGATTAACTTTGTTTAGCATTAAATAAATTCAAGAAAAGAGTAAAGATCCACTTCATTACACTACAAAATATAAGAAAAAAAATGAATTAGGTCAAATACCTTTATTTACAGATTAATGAGTAGAAAGAAGGAGAAGAAAAAAATCGTTTACTCAAAAGCATTAATTAATTTAAAAAAACAGAATACAAGTCATTGATCTAACGTTTAAATCCTCCTTGGTTTAACGTTAAGAAACGGGTTTTTACCATTAAAAAATTATATAAAAATTGTAAAAATATCGTTTACGTGTTTAATAATATCAAAAAATCCCACAAATTGTGGGCATTTTTTTGTGTAGGTGTCATTTAATTTACTTTGACCTCGCGTGGTTGCAGACATATCAGTTTATTTCGGACCGTTTTTCAATTTTTCAGCCTTCGTTTCTACACCAACGTGGGAGAATATCTCAGATTTTATTCTTAAATTGTCTTCTTTATAGCCTAAATAACCTTGGTACGAATATTTTATAAATCTTACTAAAGGATCTCCTTAATATTCTATGCAAGTTTGCAACAAAATCTGAAATATGGAGTAAAAACAGCATTAATGCATGGGCATTAATGCTGTTTTTACTCGATATTTCAGATTTTGTTTTAGAAAATCATTTTTTTTAATATTGTTAATTATTTTAAAATATTATTTTCAATTTTTTTTACGTCAGGTATTTACATTCTCTTCGTTCTCTTCATTTGCAGCTTCCCTGATTAAATTGAAGCTAATTTATCGCTTATATAATAATCTATAAAAGTCTCTAAATTAAATTTATTATAATAAATTTACTTATTTTTTTAAATAAAATTGGATAAAATATAATAACTCTTCCTATTTATTATTAAAAGTTTTTTTCCTGCCAATCAGATGCGACGTTTCTATTTTTTTAAATTTTTTGTTTACCAATCAGATGCAAAATTAACTTGACGTTTTAGATACGTCACATAGAATTCGCATTCCGATTGGTGAAGAGAAATTTTAAAATATTCAAAATAGGCAACTTTGCTTGTTTTGTATTTTACATTACGTAGAACGTTCTGTGTGTTCTAAAATAAAATTTAAATTTAAAAATATACTTACAAACACCACAATTCTTCGAATTAGAGTCACGGGTTAATTATTATGCGGCACGAAACCCGTTAATTACTATGAGTTAAGCCTACGTTACGAAGCTCGTCTCCATTTCTTACCTCGATATTTTCACGAATAATAAAGATTTCTCTATCTCGTAACACGAAAGAATTAATTTGCATAAAATTTATGAAAGATGTTCATCATATTATACGAAGAAAATAGTTAATTGAGGAATTCCGTTGCGTTGCGAATGTTCTATATCGGTTCACACCAGCGATCGCGATGGCGATTGATCTCTTTTGTCTTATTGTTTTTTATTAGCTAACGAGATAAAAATTAGTAATTATCAACGTGTAATGATTACGTTATGTGAAGTTTATCTATCGTTGATGCCAATTGTACTGTACCTTCTTTATTGAAATTGGAAATCTTTAAAGTTTTAGTAAATTGATTACTGACAGTTTGTTCGCTAGTAAACATTTTTTTCTTGTGAAAGATTCAATTATTTGTAAAATTTTCGGTGTTTTTCCACAGAATTGCTCTGAAAATACATAAAAGCGGAAATGGAGGGAAAATAAGTGAAAAAAAATACATAAAACAGTTAGGAAATGAACGTGAAAATAATACTAAAAATAGAGGAGAAATACTAAAAAAAAGTGAGAGAAATGGTATTAAATATAAAGGAATAACAAGCAAACACTTAGGGGGAAAAATATCAAAATAACTAGGGAAAACTTTCATTCAGTTGTTACTGCTTTCCTGTTTGATCTCGTCGATTCCCAGTTTCTTGTTTAAGATTTGCATCTTGTTTCTTTCTTTTTAACATTATTTTTCTCTTTTTACGAAAAAACACCGAACAACAAGGAACGAAATAATAAGAAACAGTAAAACACGAAAACAAACAGAGAAAACAATGGCAAGAACAATAAAAAAAATGGCACCGAAACAAAGAACTTTAATAGTATTAAAGAAAATAATAAAAACCGAGTGTAAACTTAACAAATTAGTTATTCTCTTAGCAAGTTAACACATAAAGACCTTCTAATTACAATTAGACAGCCTCAGAGAGATTTTTCTAGTGTTTTTAAACACAGCTTATATTGATATTTTGGTTTGGAAATGTGACGAAACACAAACGTGTATATATACAGTATATAAAGAGGGGGGAATTAACACGTGTTTCGCACCTGCATTCTGGAAGAACGGGTCAGGGTAAGGTAGGCAAATGCTTAACTATGTCAACTGCCGAAAATGGTCTTCCGTTTATAGGACCACTCCCGTCTCGATCGCTTCCCTCTACTCGTTATAACGTGGGTGCTAACATCTGCTGTACTCTACACGCACGCGTAACACTCCATTCCGTCACGTTTCTGTAGTTTCTGCTGTTCGATCGATACGTAACTTCGATTTTTCGTTAAAAATTTAAAGATAAAGACAATTCTTATCGAAATTTTGACCAATATAATCGAGAAATTCGCTCCTAAACTACATACACATACAATGGAAACATATGTTTTACATTAAGCTTCATCCAGCTTAAGTCTATTTGTTCCACCCACCACTTCCGATTTGTTTCATTCAAAAAAAAGTAAATAAATAAAAGAAAATTGAATTCCCTGTAGGGATTTTTAGTTATATATAATCATTTTTTATATAAACATATAAAAATTTATATAAAAATTCATAGAGGGTCTTCTATACAGGAAGCAGGACTTATTTTTTCATAATGTAAATTTATACGTCATTTATACAAAAATTTATATATAAATATGGAATATTAAATCATTATAATTCTAAACATAAATTTTTTAGATTTGCCTTCATTATTTTTATAAAATTATTTATATTTTTGTATAAAAATTCAGGAAGAGTCTTCTGTAGAGGAAGTAGAAATTCCAGTTTTATAAAATAAATTTATAAATAA